CCCACTTAGACATGATCTTTTTACCCCCTCTCTTTGCCTTCTNCCCCCCCCTCCCATCCTCAATTTAGTTTTAACCCACTCTAAAATATGATCTTCACCTATTTCCGGCAATTATATAATCATCCCAGCCTTACCCGGCCATTCATTATATTTTTATCATTGTTTATTCTTCTCCTTTCAGATTGAAAACCTTGCTTCCCAAACCTTATTCTCATTTATTTCTAATTTATCGTTCAAGTATATCTTGAATAGGTTTCCCATACGAGCTGGAGCTCTGCATCGATCAATCATGGGTCCAACGTTGAATTTTCAATTTCAAAATTGAATTTAATTCTGTTGAATGGCTTGTCCTTAGGTTTGGGTTGAATAATGTTGATAAATACTCGGGTGGAGTGAGATTGAGTCGAGGTCCTTATATGGACTCATGGAAGACGGTAATTTACATATAGTAAGGTTTCGTATTATCCTGTAGTCATGAATACTAACTAACTTTCTTATAAAGCTTGAATATTGTGAATATTTATTTTTCTCCAGTCTTAGCTAAAGCTTCAGTTCAAGCTTCCTCCCGGAGAAAAATTGCCTCTGAATTCTTGGTTTCGTGAGAGCGTATTAAAATGCTGATATCGCGCCCTCAAATAACCGAATGTAAGTATTATAACTGCGGACGAGGAGGGGGGAGGATTGGTGCACAGTTATCTATACTATATTTCCGCCATTTTCACACAACTAGGGCGGATTCAATGGCTTTACTCCAGGTGTATAGGCTCAGGGTTGAATTATCTGTCTGGCGCCAAATGAGAAGGATAAACTCCGGGCTGTAATCCGTTCTGAATATTTCTCAGCTGAGAGCTAAACCCTGAAAAGTAGTAATAAACATTACTTTACTTGAATATCTTGGCCTGAGTGTCTTTCCCTCGGGTTCAGGCAGTTTTCAGGGCGCTAGGCGGAGCTGGGGAGGAACCGGTTCTGATTTGAACGCCTCGCATACAGAGGTGGTTAGGGATGGGGGAGATAATAGGTTGTGAGGGGGGGGGGAATCTCCAGCTGAGTTCTCCATCTGCCCTATTTTTAATCTTGCAAACTGGAAATTATGTGTCTGTCAAATCTTTAATCAACTGTCAGTTCAGATATTTTCTGCGTTTTGTCATTTTTTATGCAAACTTTATTTTCCTCTTTGTTTTATTCTTTCTCCGTAGCGGAACAGTGTTCTAAACAATTATATTCACAACAGACCCATTATTTACACCTCCTTTATCTGATCATAAATATAGAAGATATCTTCGTTTTTTTAGCAATTGAAAAATGTTCAATTCTATGTTAATAGAATGTTTCTCTAATGTTTCTGTACAGTAGAAATTTAGAAATCACAATTTAATGAGTAACTGCAAATGAGAATATAATGAAAAGAGAAGATATGATGCGATGGATTGGATATGGACCAAGGTTGTGAACTCTACAAATGGAGATTCACTTGATATTATGTATACTGTCCCCTTAAAAACTGAGTTTTTGCCACAAACTCTGATTTTCTAATTTCTATACCTTAGATATGTCAAACTTCTTTGAAAATCTCTGTTTTCCGATGAATTTTTGCGTCTATCAGGTTAAGTTAATAACAGCCTATGTCAGTCCTGGTTTAGTTTATTTTCAAGTTTATGACCGATCACTCCTCACTTTTTCCTCTCCGTGTTCTCCCATCTGATGGTTTATATCCCCCTGTCTTATGCTAAGGGTTGAGAAACATATCAAGGACGAATTATCATGAGTTACAATTTCAGTAGCTCATGAAGCGCCTCCTTGAATATCTATTTACGTATAAAGTAGTAATCTCTGTTGTTTTTTTGTTAGTATGTCCGATCACAACTCTTGTACCACTGGGCCGATTTGCCTCTAATTTTGATTTGGGAAACTTGGAGAACCACGGAAATGTTCTTAGCTTGGTTTTAAGATTCTAATCGTAATTTAAGACCGAGCGCGGGTAAACGGCGGGATTAACTATAGTTAACCTGGGCAACGCTGAGTTCCTAAAGTAGTTCAAAAATATAGTTTTAGAAATAGGTTTATAGTTTAGGGGGGGGGGCGAGGAGGGATGGGGGGCGGGTAAATAGGTAGTTAAGTGCTTTAAATATGGGCGTGTAAATATTCCAATGAATTCAGTCAAGAATAATAAGTTTTGAAATTAGTTTAAATTTTTCTCTTCAATCTGAAGTCATGGCTGTTCCTCATTAAAATTCTGCGTTCCACAAAATAATTTACTGATTTAATTAGCTAGGTAATTGGAAGGAAATTTTTTTAAGGGAATTGTAATCTTGTGTAATCTTACTTTTTAAATGCTTTTGCAAAACTAATGTGATTATCGTGAACGTGTAAAAGCTAAATTGGACAAAAAATTTAAATATGAATTGAAATATTGTGTGAAATTTCCAACTGTAATCGGATACTAAGCGTTAAGTTTGATAAGCAGGGTTTCTGAAACATGATTAATCTTTTATCCTAGAGATGAATCCGTCCTACCAATCAATCACTAATCCATGTATTTATCTATCAATCTGGATATCACTGATATCATCCGTCCCACTCCACACTCTCTTTCTGTGCGTCAGGGTTCTGAGAATTAGGTTCAACTCCAGGATTGGAATTGATTTGAGCGAAGCAGTATAGAGCTGAGAAGGGGTTGGGTTTAAAGTAGGGAGTTTGCAAAGAGAAGGGGGAGTTTGGGAATATATTAGGGAGTTTGGGAATAGAGTAGGGAGTTTGGGAATAGAGTAGGAAGTTTGGGAATAGAGTAGCGAGTTTGGAAATATAGTAGGGAGTTTGCTAATAGAGTAGGGAGTTTGGGAATAGAGTAGGAAGTTTAAAATAAAGTAAGATGTTTGGGTGGGAGCAAGATAGAGTTGGAGTAAGTAGGGTTGGAGTAAATAGGATTGGAGTAAATAGGGTTGGAGTAAATAGGGTTAAAGTAAGATAGAGTTAGAGTAAGATAGGGTCGGGAGTAAGATAGGGTTGGAGCAAGATAGGGTTTGAGTAAGATAGAGTTTAAGTAAGATAGAGTTAGAGTAAGATAGGATAAGAGTAAGATAGAGTTGAAGTAAGATAAGGTTTAAATAAGATGTGTATGGAGTGAGATAGGTTAAAGTCTTGTGGTAATCTTGTTATATAAAATTACTAAGGGTGTAACCCTGCACATGTGGATTGGTGTGGTTGCAGGGATAATCTCCAGGAAGGAGGGGGGAGGGTTGATGAGAAGGGGGGATTTAATTGTCTAAATCTCAAGAGCGAAGGAGAAGTGTAGGCATTAGGCAATATATAGTTTACGATTGAAAGTTTGTATTTTAGGAGTAGGTTTGATAGGTCGGCCAGGAGGGAAAGAGGGGAAGGTAGGTAGGAAGAAAGGTAGGAAGGGCCAGGGGGGGAGGTAGGTAGGAAGGGGAAGGGGTGGAGGAAAGTCTGTATGTTGATGGTGTCACCTGTCAAATTATTTTTGCTTTCTGTCGCATTTACTGAAACCAGGTGGCCGAGACAATACACCGTATCCTAGACTGATACACTGTATTCTATCCTGATACACTGTTTCCTAGCCTGCTACTCTGTATCTTACCCTGTAACACTGTATCTTACCCTGATACACTTTATCCTTCCCTGATACTCTGTATCCAAGCTTGATACGCTGTATCCTACCCTGATACACTGTTTCCTAGCCTGATACTCTGTATCTTACCCTGTAACACTGTATCTTACCCTGATACACTGTATCCTTCCCTGATACGTTTTATCCTACCCTGATACCCTGTATTCTACCCTGATACTCTATATCTTACACTGTATCCTACCCTGATACCCTGTTTTCTACCCTGATACTCTGTATTCTAGCCTGATACTCTGTATCCTAAAACATTCAATCAGGCAATCTGCAATCTGATTTTAATTTATTTAAGTTTTACTCACTGAATTAATTTTCAATCTAACATTGGATGAATTAATATTTAAGTAACTGTATTTGTTTAGGACTAGAAAAAGGGAACTTAAACGTGTCCTTCACATTGTAAAAACTTGTGGATTTTTATTATTATTTTCGCGGATTTCCTTTAAATATGGAGGATTTTTATAAATAAACTAATTAAACCCTTTTCCAAACGTATTTGCTTTTAAAGCTCAACTTGTGGACCTTAATATAAGACTACAAACCTTGGATCATTGTTGATTTTAAGTTGATCTGAAGTTGTCCAATTTCATAAAACCTTTATTATTTTGATAATTTCACTTTTACAATTGAAGAAATATTGGTTTAAAAGCCAAGTATGTATATATATACTTGAGACAGGCAGACATACTTGAGGTTTTATTATAAATAAATACTTTCACCTTTGTTGAGACACTTCTCCAGGTCCCCGTATAAACTGTATTGAACCTGCTCCAGGTCCCTGTATACACTGCCTTGAACCTACTCCAGGTTCCTGTATAAAATGCCTTGAACCTACTCTAGATCCCTGTATACACTGTATTTAACCAACTCCAGGTTCCTGTATACACTGTCTTGAACCTACTCCATGTCCCTGTATAAACTGCCTTGGACTTACTCTAGGTCCCTGTATAAACTGTCCAAAACCTACTCTTAAGGTCCCTTTATAAACTGTCTTGAACCTACTCCAGGTCCCTGTATACACTGTCTTGAACCTACTCCAGGTTCCTGTATACACTGTCTTGAACCTACTCCAGGTCCCCGTATACACTGTCTTGAACCTACTCCAGGTCCCCGTATAAACTGTCTTGGACTTACTCTAGGTCCCTGTATGAACTGTCCAAAACCTACTCTACAGGTCCAGCCTAAACTGTCTCGAACTTTTCAAGACCCCTTTGACACACTTCCTTACTTACTCCGGGTACCTTTATTTTCTGTGTAAATCCTGAGGTCTCTAAGAATCCATCCCGGATCTATGATTCCAAATGTCCTAGAATTGAACTTGTATCTCAATATATACTAACGGTCTGATATATTTCAGAAGAAGGGAACTGGACACGAGCTTATGGAGAAGATCCACTGTCAGATGGATATTGTGGAGAAGGATTATTTCGGACTCCAATACACGGATTCAAATAATGTCAGCCATTGGTTGGATCCAACTAAACTAGTCAAAAAACAAGTAAAAAGTAAGTTTAAAAGATGACAAAAATAACAAGAAATTTTTTATATCTACTTTTTTCTAGCAATGCAATTTTTAACTTTTAAATTTTTTCAAGACCAAGGAATTGAGATTTTGCCACAAACTCTGATTTTCTAATTTCTATACCTTAGATATGTCAAACTTCTTTGAAAATCTCTGTTTTCCGATGAATTTTTGCGTCTATCAGGTTAAGTTAATAACAGCCTATGTCAGTCCTGGTTTAGTTTATTTTCAAGTTTATGACCGATCACTCCTCACTTTTTCCTCTCCGTGTTCTCCCATCTGATGGTTTATATCCCCCTGTCTTATGCTAAGGGTTGAGAAACATATCAAGGACGAATTATCATGAGTTACAATTTCAGTAGCTCATGAAGCGCCTCCTTGAATATCTATTTACGTATAAAGTAGTAATCTCTGTTGTTTTTTTGTTAGTATGTCCGATCACAACTCTTGTACCACTGGGCCGATTTGCCTCTAATTTTGATTTGGGAAACTTGGAGAACCACGGAAATGTTCTTAGCTTGGTTTTAAGATTCTAATCGTAATTTAAGACCGAGCGCGGGTAAACGGCGGGATTAACTATAGTTAACCTGGGCAACGCTGAGTTCCTAAAGTAGTTCAAAAATATAGTTTTAGAAATAGGTTTATAGTTTAGGGGGGGGGGGG